TCAGTCTGAGGTAAATCTCTTTTTTTGGCTCATTTTATCTGTAAAAGAAAACCTGCTTAATTCTGCACTCCTCAATATAAGGAGTTTTTCACTTCCAGCCTTCATGGACAATTATATATCACTTATAAATGATTAAATACAAAATAAATATAAGTTATTAAGATTGGTGTGGTTTGGAATTGGTAAAATGTGCTTGGGAAAACAAATATGATGAGAATATCAACTTGCCTAATAATTATGCACGCACTGTATTTATAATATGAAAAAGTGATAATACATTTAATTGATCATAATTTCCTCTCCATATATATAACAATAGATATAAATAATAGATGTATAAAGCGCTATTTAAAAGGTCTTAAAAAAGAAGATAATCAGATGGCTTCCAAACTCACTTAAGACTGAGACAGATTCAGCAGTAGGACAGAAATAATTATTTGATAATGTCTCAGAGAGCAGTGATAAAGGAGCAATCAGTTACTTAAAATGGATGTTAAAAGACTTGTTTAATTTAACTAATTATTTTATCTTCATGTACTAGTGAAATCATGCAATTCCAGCCTTTCTGAGCAATAGACCAAGCCTTTGTGCTACCTGGTGTTGATTTCACGAATGACGTTCACATGTGACCTGGTTGTATTTCCGTGACATTACAGTGTCAAGCATGATTGTTTTCACTTCGTTTTTATTTATTAATTAATTTTATTTTTTTCACAAAATAATTAGTTTGATGCCACGAGAACCACATAAAAGTCAGTATTCTAAGTTTTCTCTTCCCGGCACCACTTCTTATGTGGGCTCCCTAATGCTGTATAGGGGTCCCGGGTCCCCCAGCCCCTCTTAATTCGAGCACTGTGTGAAACATAATAACAGCTCACTGAGATGATACAGATGGACATACATAATAAAGTTTTCACGCTATTCTTCTGTCAAGATCATTTTATTTAGTAAAGTATCTCAGCATTCACTGATGCTTCCCGGTCGCACTCAAGCACCATTATATGTTTGGTCTTAAACGCAGCTGTGCTCTTGTTTTGCTGCAGGACAGCAATTGTGAGTGAATTTTCTGTCATCTTTGCAGAACTGTAAAATGAAGAGTGAACAAAGTAACATATCTTTAGCAACAGTGTTAAAGTGAACAGCACATAACAGACACAATACCGGTATAAACATAAATATCTATCGGTACAATATGTGTCACATGGTTATCAAATTTGAATGGCATTCAAAAAGCTCAGTTTTCACAGGACAAAAACAGCATATCAGTGAGAACAGAAGACCAAAACTGAGAGAAAAAGATGTTTCAAATGAAAATGTATTAGTGTGGACAAGGCCTGTGGCTTCGAAACTATCCGACCAGAGCAGAAAAATGACAGAAAAAGCAGCAAGAACATGAAAAAATTAGCAAGAAGAATTTGTATTATTTTCTATAATTTAAAATTTTTGTCTTTAGTTAATTAATTTATTAAAAGTCAACAATAGTCCACTGATGAAATGTAATTTTTAGTTTGTGTCAGTACACATTAATTATTAAAACATTTGTATATGTATTTCAGTGGCAGCTGGTCAGTAGAGGGCAACACACACAGAATAATAATAATTATTATTATTATTATAAACTATATAAATTGGTATGTGCATAATATGATAGAAAATCATCTGTGCAATATATACGTTTGTCCTATATGTCTCCTCTGTCTGTTAGCATCAAGTTCAGCTCTGGGGAGATTAAGAAGTAGCTGTTCAGCCAATTTAAATATATATATACACTTACTGAACTGAACTGAATCAACACTGAACTGACTTGAGCTCTAGAATCACACTATTGGCTTGTTAGAGCTGCTTTACAGCACAGTCTCAATCTGTGACTGCTTTGAAACAATCTGTATTGTATAAAGTGTTATAGAAATAAAGATGACTTGACTTGTATGCATGATAAACCAACTTTAGTGTTGTGCTTTAGGCCTGACAGGGTTTTTCACAGAGTTTTGTTTCGGGCTCCAGAAGTCTAGGTCCAGCACTGCTAGTGAGATCCCAATCACTAGTCGCTGTTCAACAGCTTTCACTATTAGTGAGGACATTTGTGAATAGTGAGGACATTTTGGACTTTGCAAATATAGTCAAAGCTGTAAACACACACAGACACTGTTCACTGTCGTGTTGTTCTTGATGTTTCTCTCTTCTTGTGTTCAGGGGCCTGTGATCTCACACTGGATCCAAACACAGCAAACACTCGACTCATGCTGTCTGATGAGAACAGGAGGATCACACATGATTATGAGCATCAGCCGTATCCTGATCATCCAGAGAGATTTGATGATGTTCCTCAGGTTCTGTGTGTTGAGAGTCTGACTGGACGCTGTTACTGGGAGGCTGAATGGAGCGGAGATAATGCTGATATATCAGTGTCATATAAAGGAATCAGCAGGAAAGGAGTGAGAGAAGGCTGTATGTTTGGATGGAATGACAAATCCTGGAGTCTGGATTGCTCTGATGACAGATTCACTGTCTGGCACAATAATAACAGAACTGATATACCTGTCGTCTGTTCATCCTCTAATAGAGTAGGAGTGTATCTGGACGTGTCGGCCGGCTCTCTGTCCTTCTACAGCGTCTCTGACACACACACAGTCACACACTTACACACACTCAAAACCACATTCACTGAACCCCTCTGTGCTGGATTTACAGTTTATTATGATTCCTCATTGTCTCTGTGTGATATTAAACGATAGAGAGACTCTCTGTAAATCCCCTTTCTGATGTTCACATGCACACTAATTCATTAAATCTCACTTTATTATATTTGTATTTATTTGTATTTATTGTCATCTACAAGTTATAAATCTAGATCAGACACACATACTGTTCGGAATCTTTAATAAACAGAGTAATAAAGTTGCTTTATTATTTATATTGTAAACTGATCATCAAATGTAATAAAAGTACATTTGTGACTCATTTAATGATGAAGTCGTTTATGAATCCCTGATGTGAACTGATGACAGTATGAATAATCATGAATGTGATTGAGATCAGCAGAATGAAACACAGAGACTGAATTGAATGAATCCGTCTCCTGATCGTCTGCTTTATTTTTCTGTCTGCGCTGATTTAACACTCAATTCACTAAATGAATTCTGTACAAACAATTACATTATCGCTGCTGAACACGGTTGATCTCGCTGTAATTCCAGTCTTTCAGGAGCTTCAGAGCTTCAATCTACTGCTTGATCACTAGAAAATCTTCATCAGCATCTCTTCTTCTGAAATGATTGTCTTTTCTGCTTTATTAGGTCTCCACGAGCACAACAGCTTTACATGACAGGAGCCTCTGAGCCTCAGCTCTCACTCAAATAACATCCACATCACTGTCTGCTTAGTTTCATTCATAAATCTACATGAATATAGTGCTTAATAATATGAAACTAATCTTTTAACTTATATAATTATAATAATCAATAATTTATGCATTTAGCAGACGCTTTTATCAAAAGCGACTTACAGTGCATTTAGGCTATAAATGTTTTACCAATGTGTGTGTTCCCTGGAAATTGAACCCACAACCTTTTGCGATGCTAATGCAATGCTCTACCACTGAGCCACAGGAACAGATATTTATATGAGGCTCTTACTCTAAAAGGTTTGAGTTAGATTATTATTATTATTTTTATATTTGGTTATAAATTAAAGCTAAAATGATATTGCAATCAAGGTATACATTTTAACAGTTCATGTATTCCCTAGGAATCAAATCCATGACATTGGCATTTCATTCACTATTCCCTACATGAGTTTACTAATATAGTCCACCTGATAGAGAGAATGAACACAAACGAGTGAATTCAGATGCTGATGAACAGCTGCTGGGAACGAGCAGATTCACTGAAGAAAAGAGAAACAAGAGAAACACAAGAACTACAGCTGACTTCAGCCACAGCCTTCAATGAAAATGAAATGAAAAGATCCTCAGCGCAGGCCAACAGCAGAATTTGCAGATCTGGCTTCAATTGTCTGAAGGTATTTATGTTCTCCCTGTTCTTAAATTAATGCTTGCAGGGAACTGAACAAATCATTCAAAGTGATTCGTGTACAAATGCACACCGTTTTGCAGGCTTCTTTATTCAACACCTTGAACAGAATCGACTCAAAAAGAGTGATTAATTCGTGAATGGGGCATCGTTCATGATCCAGATAAAAGAGAGCACTTGGAATAAATTATGTTTGATGAGGATTTGTTAAGGACACAGCATCAGATCTGAAAGTGCTGGATCTGAAGATGATCTACTTACTGTGAATGTTTTTTGTATG